AGTGCAGAGGACGGTGCTGGTCTCTTTTCAGTGGTGGCCACTGATAGGACTAGAGGGAATGGCCGGAAACTGAAACATCAAAAATCTCATAGGAACTTAAGGAAAAATTTCTTAACAGTGAGGGTGACAGAGCACTGGAACAGGCTGCCCAGAGAGGTTGTGGAGTCTCCTTCTCTGGAGATCTTCAAAACCCGCTTGGATGCAGTCCTGCGCCACGTGCTTTAGGTGACCCTGCGTATGCAGGGGGGTTGGACTAGATGATCTCTAGAGGTCCCTTCCAACCCTAAGCATTCTATGATTCTATGATTCTATGATTCTATGAAATTCATCCCAGGTTATGACGCCACTGAAAATCACTGGTATTTCAATTTTCAGTTGAGTTCGGCACGGTCTATTTTTTAAACAGCTAAATACTGGCTGAAACAACTCACTTCACAAAAGTGATTTAAGTGGCAAAATTGAAGAAGAAAGAAATGCATTGCAAGGTGTTTGAAAGAGGTGGGGAACATCACAGCTAACCATTGAAGTGTAATTTCAGTCACGCAAACCCTGGACTCCATTAGAAAAGACAAAAAATATGTTAGCAAAAACAGTCCCTTCTCTTTCCCAGTCCCAATTTTTGGGCAGAGACAAGGCAATAATCCTGACTTCTTCCTGCTAATCTTTTATCTTTCTCCTTTGCTGCCACCTGGGCTTCTTACAGGCCTTCTTATACTAAAATGTTAAGCTATAATATTCTGGGCCCCTACATAAACAGAGAACAGGAAAACTCCATTCTTTAAACACACAAGTGTCGATCATCTGCAAGCAGCTGAAGCATTCTGCCACCCTGTCTGTCAGACCCCCAAACTGCAAGACTGTCGTTACAGAGAGTAAATCCTAAGCAAGCAGAGAAATGGAAGCCACTGATTTTCTTAGGTGTTGGAGACTTTATCAGTTGCATTTCTGACTTCAACTTTCGTAGAGGGATATAAGTTCACTGGGTTTTGCCTTAAAGCTTGTGCAGTGGGCCAGTCATGCTCCATTCTAGCATCAGCATACCTTAGAAACAGAGACTATAAAGAATAAGCAGCAGAAACAGGGAACACAAGAATATCTGGTGCCTTCCAGGGGACTGGGAAACATAAGCTCAAAATCTGGCTGGGAAAAAAAGAAAATAAAAATAATTAACACATACAATAGATGAACTATGATCACAAGGGAGTGAAATGATAGCACCTGCATTGTTGTGACACTAAATATTTGGCAGTGTTTTGTGTTGACCACACAGGAGCCCCTGGAAGCCCTCGCCTGTGGTAAAGGAGTAAGAGCAATTATTGTGCTTGTAAATGAAAAGGAGAGTTTGTATTTGAGGCTCAGTCTCACTTCCATTAACAGAGGAAGCCCCTCAGAGCTCAGTGCAGAAGCAGTGGTTCTTCAAACGCTTCCTTGCTCACGTGTCGCGTTGTTGCTCCGAAGCCAAGCAGCACAGTTCATCCCTTCCAAAGAACTGACAAAGCAGCTTTCACAAGTCTGTTGTGCAGCCAACGGGGACCAAAGCTTACAAAATTCACAATCATTAGCTCCAGAAAGTCTCCCCATTCTTCCCGCTGTCTGTAACACATCATCCAGCCACATCAATCACTGTTAACCGGCGTTAATACTGAGTTGTGAGGCCTGACTAGAGCTGCTGTTACAGCTTGGGGAGAGCCCCGGCGGGGGCTAGCGTAATACCAAAAACATAGAAGAGCCCCAGGAGGAGATTGAGTTTGGCTGTCCGCTGAGGGATCTTATTGAAGCTCTGACTCCGAAACTGCCTCTCCAGGGAAAACGCCATTGGGATGGTGAGAAGTGGCAATGCCATGCTGATGGTGTAGCGCGTGGCCAGCACACAGAAAATCAGGTAGGGCAAGAAGAGCAGCACAGTGTAGAGAACGTAGGAGAAGGCAGGGCCGATGAGGATGGCCAGGGTGACAATACCCGCCTGCTGGTCAGACTCCATGTCCCGCGTGTTGTTGCTGTGCAGGATGGCCTCGGTACTGAGAGCTAGTGGGACAGCGTAGAGCAGTGGCGACACAGACAGATAACCAACCTGCACAGCATGGGCAAACATGACAGCCAGGGGCCCAAAGGTGATCAGGATCACCACGTCTCCAAGTGCAACATATTTAAATCCAATTCCTGTGGCAAGACACAACGACAAAATGAAGCATCATCAAACAACTCTAACCATGGAAAAAATGTTTTTATTACAGATCAGCCATTCCCACAGAAGCATTAAAAAAAAATCAAAAAACATAGCAAAAACTGAGAAACATATTCTCTCTTTTTTCCCTCTTTTTAACAGTAATAAATGAAAATCAGCTTCTGAATTTCTCCAGTCAAATCACCTGACAAAACTAAGGGCCTTCACACCAAGAAGTACCTTATTTCCACAGAAATTAATAGAAGTAAGGTATTCTATGGTGATCAGACATACAGGAATATGATCCTGAAGAAACAGATCAAAAGTTCAGAACAAAACACTACACTAATAAAGCACTTTCAAGTGAATTCACACACTGTTACAAGTTTGTTACTGTTTGCCTAAGCAAAATATTTTATGTTTCTGTCTATCCAACTCAGCAAGACATTGATAACATCCTCTTCTACAAACATTCTCCTCTTAGTAAAAAAACATCCTCTTAGCAAAAAGAAATACAAAAACTATTTCATAAACCCAGTGAAATTTTTTCTAGAGAAGGAAGACAAAACATTCCAACACAATGCACAATGTAAAAGAACTTATTTAGTGAAACATATATGGTCAAGGGACACCAGATATACAAAACCCAAAGTGTGAGCAATAGTTTTGACAAGTAGCTACACTCATACACGTAGTGCCTCGGTCCTACCTCCAAACTGAGTGCATCTACCCTATACCTTCCAGTATATATAACAACCAGTGCCGAAGAATACAAACCTAAGTACCAGTATTCTAGGAAGTATCAGCACATATCTGCACAACAGCTAACCAGATCATTGGAGCTTCTAGAAGCCCCCAAGTCAGCAAACTCTCCCATGCCCACGTTCAGAATTACAGCGACGCAGCACTCACCTCCAGTGTACAGGAAGGAGCTGGAGAGTCCCCCGAAGTAGATCAAGGCCAGGTGCTCCAGCTTGAGCGTGGAGGCGCAGTAGAGCCCAGCAGCGCAGATGCAGCCCACGGTGTAGAGCAGGACTCCGAACCGGACCACATCCTGCGGCTCTAAAATCTGGTCCACCAACGTCCTGTCATCACTCTTCTTGTGGTCGATGCCTTTGGAGAAGTCGTAGTAGGTGTTCACCAGGTTGCCGGCTCCGTGCACAGCGAGGACGGCCACGGCGCTCCCCACCAGCAGCCCCGGGTCCAGGGCTCCTTGGGCCCGGTAGGCCAGCGCGCTGCCGAGCGCCACGGGCGTGAGGGAGGCACTGAAGCTCCAAGGCCGCAGGGCCAGCACGTAGGCCGCGCACTTCTGCCTCCAGGAGCCGGGGGGGGCCCTGTCGGCCACGGGCAGCCCGGGACCCAGCTCGCTCCTCTC